ATAGTAAGTAGTCTCTGCCATTGTTAAATATACGAGCTAACAATTGATATTCCATTACAGACATAAGCAAATAGGAAACAACCTAATTATAGGTTTGGAAATCAAGATAGATTTTTTAGATGGACTATTTTGAACTATTTTTGTAAGCCTAAGGGATATATGTGAGTTCCAGATTCTAGCCCCAGCGGGGCTGCGCTAACAAGCTTTCTTATAATGTCGCGTGAATAAAATTTTAATAAAGACTATCTGAATGGACTCTTATTAGGATCTGCGGAACCTACTACTTTAGTACTTTATTCATATATGACAATTCAAGTCGTGGCTTATAAATTTTAAAAAAATAAGATAAGCATAATGACGAAAATAGAGTATATAGATCGAATTTTGTGACCTGCAAAAGGCCGTGATGCGGAAAGGACGTCGAAGAAATTTTTTGTATAGATAGCTTCAACTTGAATCAAAATATTCCCTAGTTTTGACGCAATATAGTATTCAAATATCACAATGAGAGGAATAGAGCTGGTGTATGAATACAAGAAACAAGAAGAAGGAATAAATCTTAATATTTCCTATTGAAGTATACTAATGGCACGAGCTTTTTGTCCAAAGTCCGCAGTAATTGCTCTAATGCTTTACATTGTTCTTGCGGGGCTGATTGGCATCACTATATGCGGCATGAAATGGAATGGTGAATCAATCCATGTCAACCTGGACATATACAAACAGGAATCGAAGAAAGAACTGTTGAATGAGAACTGCAAAACAACAAAACCAACTCTGATTTTCACGTGTCTTGGTGAAAAGGCTTTCACAAGTTACCAACTGTACATATGGGAAGCAATGGAACAAGCTCGATTGACTAATCCAAACATTCGAATGACTGTTATTTTAAATCGAGCTGCATATACTACTTTGAATGCCGATAAATTTCGTTTACTCCGCATTTCAGTCGCATTTTCAGATGATCTCTATAATGGGAACACCTTATTTCAAGAGTTTCAGCAGAAGTTTTTTGAGAAAGGTGCGATGAAGCCAAATGGCAATGAAAAGTTTGTGCAATACGTGGTCGAGCGGCTGGTTGCCCTGTATGCGTACATGAATCAAACAAAATTGTGCAATGTTTTTCACATGGAAAATGATAACATGCTCTACATCGATCTCAATCGACTTGCCATGCGTATGCTGGAGTGCAATGTTTCGATTGCAATACCACGAGCTGCTATCGACCAAGCTGTGATGTCATTCATCTTTGTAAAAAGTAGCCGAATTATGGAGCATTTTGTGGAGTGGTGTATGAATGTATTTAGAATGGGACCTGAAAAAGCCGTTAAATTTCTCAATACATCATGGATAAATGATATGACACTCGGAGCTCGCTATTTACAACTATTTGCAACATCAAATGAACAATCAAAAATAACTGGTGTCTTTGAGTTACCTACTTGGATAAATGAACGGAATGAATCTTGCTGTCTCTGCAAAATGACACAAAATGATGCAATCATCTTTGACGCCTGCGTTTTAGGTCAATACTTTGGAGGCACATTCTCGAATCCAAATCAAAAACACTGGGAAATGAATCGTTTGGTAGATCCACGAGGTCTTTTACTAGATTGGCGACCCAGCGAACATGGTGCTCATAAACATCCT